AAACTCCACCGTGTGTCCACTTCTAGACAACTGTCATCCTTACAAATTCCCCTTCCAAATCACTCCGTGGTTCTGCTTCCCAAATTTGTCCTCCTCTGCATAGGAGATGCACCTCCAAGGAAATCAGATATAGTGTAATATCCTCAAAACAATATACACTCTCTTGTGCTCCCCTCACATCTCCACAAATCACCAGCAGGGGCAGACTGACAACTCATGGGGCCCCCGGGCAAAAGGGGATCATGGGGCCCCGTGTCCTTACCCACACTCAAAAAAGCCTATAAAAAAGGTACCAGGGGCATTTCATGGGGCCCCCTACTGACCCCGGGCCCTCAGGCAGTGCTGCCCCTGATCACCAGTGTATGTGAACACACTATCCGCTACCTCGCATATCATGCACCTTACCAGACGGTAAAAATCAATCAAAGTCGGAAGTGACAAAATGTGTTAGGACATAGCGTCGGACATAAACTGGAAGTTGTGGAGCGGCCATTTTGGAGGTTTTTACATACCATGCTTGATTTGTGAAGGAATATATGCTGAGACACAAGAATTTGTTTGTAAGCGCAATTTTTACTAATAACTGGCCCAATTCCTACTATTGCCAACTACACTATATTGGTTTGTTCTGATATATGTTATGATACCATTGGAGATCATATATACTCTGGAATCAGAGGAACCTATGCCTATTCAATGCTGGTGGATTTTTACCTTCTGGTAAGGTGCATAAGGAGGTGGTAAGTAGGACTGATTTGGGAAGCAGAACCACGGAGGGATTTGGAAGGGGAATTTATTAAAGCTTTTCTCAAGTTCACATAGGGTAAGAGTAAGGATGACAGTTGTTTAGAAGTGGACACACGGTGGAGTTTTTGCATGATTTGGCACTAATAAATATATAGTTTGGAAGTGCGCTTTTGTGAATGATATCACATATTGTGAATAATGCACTATATGCAATTATAATTATTTCTTTTGAGGTTTAATTAGAATAAGAAGAATTTTCACATTTTGGAGGAAGAATATTGATGAAGAAGATAATCACACCCACGGGTGTTTAGGACATTTAGATCCTGAAAGATTTGGACTATATATTTTGGACTTTAGGGGAGAAAAGTATATTATTTTAGCATCTGGGGTTTTGTGTAGCTTTTGTATAGACACTATTATCACACCGATATATTCACTTGTAGTTCGTGTGCTTGGTGAGTGGCTCAGAGGTACTGAAGGTCCTCTCTTTGCTTCTATCAGCTGAAATGAATACAGGGGGAGCAAGAGGAACGAGGTTGGCAATAAAGCGGTATTAAACCGCTGGACTGTTTTGTAAAATTGTGATTCAATTATGTTAAGCTCCAAGTCACATGTCTTGTAGCCCTCAAAGAATGAGATGTTAGTTCTGTATACCCTGAGCGACCAAGAGCATTAGGTGTCATTCACAATGCATTGTATGGGGCGAATGAGAAGAGATTTAAACTACAGACAGTCTTGGCCCCAACATCACATAAAACCATAGCACTATCCTACTCGCTAGGTGCTGATATGTGCTTAATAATTCACACCTGTTTTCTGTGAGTGTGCTGTCAGAATCACCTTAAGTGCCCAATAACTTAAATTTGAATTATTCCCTCAGACCATCTCCATAACTTTCCCATTGCAGTGGGGTTTAAAGAGATACTTTAATTTCAATAAAAATCTCCCCATAAAATTTTATGTGCATTTAATAAATTATATACATATCTTTAATGCACGTAAAAGCCTTGTTTGTGCTAGCATCCTAAAAGCCTGAGGTTGCTGGTGGATGCCGCCACCTTGGATGTAATGTCAACGGTACCACTCAAGTGAAACATAGAAGGTTTTGAAAGGAGGTGAAGGGAGCATTGGGGAAGCTGGGCCTGCACAAAGAGTAAATAGACACTCCCAGAAGAGTTGAGGGCTTTGAAGTGCAAGGAGAAAGAAAGCTGTGTTAGGGAATTGACTCTTCCTGGAGTATTCAAATTTTCAACAATTTTGAAGATACATTACAAGTTAATTAAAACTCACTTATGGAAAAGAAAAACACTGCCAGAAAATATTTAAATTACTTGATCTTCTATGTTTTTACTACTATTGTTTTAGGTTTGTGACAATGTTTCTCTATGATTAAGTATCCAAGAGAAACCACATAAAGAAACTAATATAATAAAAAAAAAATGAAAGAACATGTATTGAGTTCAGTGATTCACCTCTCCTTACTATGTTAAACACACCTCTGTTACTCCTTTCCAAAAACTCAATAAAAACATTGAATGTTAAACATAACTCTGAGTGAGACAAGACAGATTGTCGTGTTTTTTTTCCCTTAAATGTTACCTTGGTGGGATACTGTCCATCTTGATTAATATAGTCTGCTGCACTCCTATACAGTACCTCCACAATACTGGAAAACTTTCAGTGTTAGGTAAACTGCCTTTGGATAGAGTGGATAGCAAATTATGCTGATTTAAAAAAATGATTTGTTAATTGAGCTTTCAATTGAAAGAAGTGGGAAATTGTAATTTTATGCTTATGCGATTGGCTTACTGATCTTCCTAGGAGTCTGCATTAAAGTGGTTCTAAAGGTTAATTTTTTTTTTTTTTGTATAATAACAGACACATCTATACTTACCTAGTGTGTGCAGTGGTTCTGCACAGAGCAGCCTGGATCCTCCTCGTTTTGGGTCCCCAGCATGCTCTCCTGGCTTCTCCTGTCTGTTGGGTGTCCCCACAACAAGCATCTTGCTCTGGGGGCACCCACTGCTCTGCGTGTCCATTCACATATGGAGCCATGGCTTGGGCCCGCCCCCCTCTCTCCTCATTGCTGTGATTGACAGCTGTGAGAGCCAGTGGAGTATAAGTCAGTGATAAGCCTAAAGTGGTCAGCTATGGTAATTCAAAAGTGGCAACCTGCTTCATACACCTCCCTGTAGTTACATGGAAATGTAGCCTTCCATTCCGAGCACTAGATCATTTTTTAACTCATCTGGTGCTGTTTACAGTAGCTAGGGGGCATAAGTCAACTAATTCTGAAGCCTTAAGTTGCACGAGTTACACCTGAAGATAGTGTTCATGAACAGAACCCAAATTCATTTATCCCCAAATGAGCACCACTAGTACAGGCTGTTGGCCTGTTAATTATACCACTACAGAGGTCATCTCCTCCCAGCTGTTTCCTCTAGTGGTCACTGGGAACATCTACAGTTCTCAGGAGAACACAATGCTGATAGGCTGCAGATTAGTTATTATAGGTACTTATATAGCACCATTCATTTACACAGTGCTTTCCGTTTATATATATTGTACATGGAGCAAGCACCTCTTATGGACATGCTAACTCATTGAAGAAGGAAATTATGTTTGCATTGCTTAGCAGCAGAGGGAAGCCAGGCTGCCAAAAAATTATTTTATTTTCACATGGAAAACCTCCCTATGAAGATTATACTGTAGTAGTTCATGAAATAAGTGTCAATTGAGATTTCTTCATGAAGAAAACATTTTTGGTTGCATTTAACATTGCCCTAATACAGAAATAATATGTACTCATATGTGGGATGTTCATTGTGGAGGTTAGTGAACGTCAGGCTGGACGACCAAATCTTTTCCTTTCCACTGGTGCTTTTGCTCTTTTTTATATCTTGGAACCAGTTGATGATTAAAATAATAACATGACACTTTTTGCTAGCAACAAGCGACCCCGCTAAGCTTCTAAGATGACTTTGTAAAATGGGTTTTCCCTCAGCCCCAAGATCACTTTGTACTGTGCATGCAATCTATTGTAATAAAAGAATACAAGTGCCATTCAGAATATTGTGTCTATTTTTGCTCTTCTCAGTCTGTTCTTACCAGAGGTCCATAAAGAACATCTTTTTATTTTGGGAGAAAGAATAGAATATATGGAGGGTCTATTGTACAGATCTGACTTGTATGAAAATAATTGAATCATTATTTATATCATCAAATGCCAAATATGATTCTGAAAAAAGTGTTCTAGGTACATTTGATGTTTTTTTCTCTAGGACAGTTTAACTCCTTATGTGAATCAGTGCCATGGTCTTTGTTATATTCTGTTTGGACATGCTTTATTTCTCATTTAAATAAAACTATTTTTGCTGGAAACGTATTTTTCAAAATGCTACAGTTATTGTTACAGTTAAAAGGTTACAGTTATTTTCTTTAGAAAACAATTAGTTCTGCGCATTTGTCCAAGTAGGCACAACTTTAAATATTTCTATATACAGCTATGTATCCTATCTCTTGTGTGGTTTTCCTTTCTGTTCAGAGGATTATGACCGTTATTTTTTTATTGAGTTGCTATAACTCAAATGCTGTCAAAGCAATCTGTCTTTTTGTGCTCCTTGACAGTATGGGGCAGGGAGATACAGACATTTATAGCAAGGTAATTCTCCATATCTAATTCTATGATCATGTTTATTGACAGTAATTACTAGGAGGGTTGTCCATAGCTCCCATGACCATGATTGTGAATGTGGCACTCAGGCTATTTCTAAATGTGGATGGCATTATGTAAAAGAGTGCAAAAGAGTGGATATTATACTAAAAACAATATTTAGCATAATGAAGGATTTTGTCCTAAACTGATCAATAGATATAAAAATAGTATGTTCCCCTATTTTAAATCTGTATTTATGTAGGTATACATTTTATTTATTCATATTTGTAAACATCCTTTTTAACATCACTTTGCGATTTACTGCTTTATGTTGCTGTAACCTTTATTGCTAAATCATATAATGGCAAAGAGTAATCCATTGGTAGTCAGGGATACAGATTTAATTCTAGTCATCTATGTACACTACTTGTATGCTAGTTTTCTTTTTATTGCCATATATTTCATATTTCCTCCAAGGTCTGAGTATTTGGTTTTTCAAAAAAAGGTTTTCATGCAGTGGAAACTGAGTAACTGGATGTTTTTCTTATTTCAGGTTTCTGACAATTGTGATTCAGTGTTTGTCAATGGAAAAGAAATGAAAAGTAAAGTGGATACCATTGTAAACTTTACATACCAGCACATCACCACTCAGCTGGAGGTTACCGTGTGGGCACCGCGCCTTCCATTGCAAATAGAAATATCTGACACTGAGCTGAGCCAGATTAAAGGCTGGAGGATTCCAGTCTCTGTTAATAAAAGGTAAGAGTACACCCTTAGTGATATACTTATGAGCAGGAAGGTCACATTCCTGATAGGAATCTCATGGCTTAATTTTCAATTTTGATTGAAATAAATAAGGTTAAAAGAAGAATTCTGGGCAAAATTGTTATTTTCCCATGCAGTTTTTGCTTAGGGGCTTGGAAAGCAAAGATACACTTACCTAATCCACCAATCCTGTGAGTGAAAGACAGGTCCCTGCCACTCCTGCCCCCCCACATGCTAGCGATCTTGTGAATGGTCTCTTCCTGACATCATCATGCCCATAGACTGGCTCCAGATGTGAGAATAGCAGGAACAGTCCACCGCTGGACGTGGGGGAGTGCTGTTTTCCGGAGGATCAGCGGAATGGGTAAGTATAACTTTTCCCTAAACCCCTGGGCAAAACAAGCACTTAACCCATGCAGTGTGAACACAGCCCTACTATATGGGAAAATAAAAGTTTTGATCAGAGTTCTGTTTTAACTGGACACCAGTTGGTAAATTCACTTGCTGATATATTTTGTTCTTTTTCTCAGTCTAAGGCCATAATAGATGTATCATTCTTTCATATTAGGTTTCCACATTATCTGCTTGAGTGGGAAAACATTCAAAATCAGCAGGGGATCAAATACTTATTTCCTTCACTGTGCATATATTTATTTATTTACCAAAGACCCTAGAGAATGAAATGGAGATTGTTGCAATTTTTTATGTCATGTGGCATTTGCACAGCAGTTTTTCAAACACAATTTTTTGGGAAAAAATACACTTTAATGAATTAAAAAGTAAACAAACACAATATATACCCTAATTTTTTCGTAAAATATAAAAGATGATGTTACGGCAAGTAAATAGATACCTAATATGTCACACTTTAAAATTGTGCACTCTCATGGAATAGTGACAAACTACGGTGCTTAAAAATCCCCATAGGCAATGCTTTGAACATTTTTTTACAGATTATCTGTTTAAAGGTACAGAGGAGGTGTAGCACTAGAAATATTGTTCTCACTGTAACGTTTATGGTAATACCTCACATGTGTGCTGTAAATACCATTTACATATGCCTGCTTGACTTACATTCGCATGCACTTCTGCGTGCAGGCACAGAGGGATGGGGGTGCTTAATTTTTTTTTCTTATTTTATTTTTATACCGTGGTTTTATTTATTTACTTTTTGTGTTTGTGTGTGATCATTTTTATTCCTTTTACAAGGAAGGTAAACATCCCTTATAATAGAAATAAGGATGACAGCAAGGATGACAGGTCCTGGGATTTAAAAGATCCCAAATTTCTACTTTACCTTTAAAGCAAAAGATTGAAATTTTTTTTTGATCTTTTGCTTTAATAAAAAAAATAGTTTACATCCTCCCAGACTGGAAGTGAAGTCATGGCATCACTTCAGTCCTCCAAGTCCAAAGAGGCAATCAGAGATTATAGAGTCTCTCATTGCCTCTGTGACCAGCCAGCCACACCATAGGATCATTTCCCAAGCATGCAGGTTGAAACGGTAAGCCCGAGAAACAGCAGCCAGCAGACGTCCCCTTCCACCCCTATTGAAAGCGATCCAGTGGCTGATGAGCTGTTCGGACCACTTTCATGAGAAAGACGGCCGAAAAAAAACCCTGATATCTTTAGCCATGACCCCGGTAAACTGCTTGCAAACCGCAACGTATTACGGTCAGCAAGTGGATAATCACCTACAACACACCACTGAGACAGGAAGCTGGAGGAGCTTGTCATTGTGCCCCAGTAAACATGGCAAGCAGAGGAGGGACAAGAATGAGCAGAGTGCTGCTGCTTCACTGTCCAGCCAACAGACTGGGATGTGTTTTGATCTGGTATTCTTGACCAAGAAAGAATCGGGCTTTGCTTTCTAGCAAGCGTACCTAGATAACAATGGATTTACAAACCTGTATTGCTCTAAATAGCCTTGAGTAATGACAGCTACATTATGTGATATGTATCACAAGAATTAAACAGCCAACATGCCCATGAACAATAACACACTGGAGTTGATTTACTAAACTGGAAAGTGCAAAATCTGATGCATCTGTGCATGATAGCTAATCAGCATCTAACTTCAGTTTGTTTAATTAGGCTTTGTCAAAAAAACCTGAAGGTGATTGGTTTCAATGTAGAGCTGCACCAGATTTAGCACTTTTGGGTTTTAGTAAATCAACCCAAGAGCAGTCTTAGTTTGTTTTCAGTTCATGCACTCATAATTGTACAGCTAATGGTAAGTTAAACTAATAAAATATCAATGTGTCTTAAATCTCAACTCCAGGAATTAGAAAAAAATCTACCCTTGCAGTAAGCACTGCAAGGTTTAAATGCCACATATCTAGTAAAGGAAGAGGCATTCAGGCAATCTCTGGCATTGCCCTCTTATCTACAAAGCTTCAGTCTGTGGCCAGTGACCTCCCTCTCTCCCTTCACCAAAAAATGTATGATCTACCTTTCCATATACATGTCAGAAATCTCCCTGCTGAGCCTTGAATAACCTCATAAATGTACATGAAAAGCTTGAAAGTGAATGCAGGCAAGCTTGACTTAAGCCAAAATTTGTTAAAACAGTTAGCTTCTCATATCTCTAAAGTTACTAATTATTATGAGATTCGGTGTAACTTTTGCTTATGCATTTATACCATCAGCTCAGTTTAGGTTATGCGTAAATTCAAACATATACAGTATGTGTGCATGTATATACTTTTGAGATTAAATTGTGACCACTGCATTGTCTGTTGCGCATACAATTTTATAATTCACCACATTTTTACCACCAAAGATTCAGTAGACACCATAATGCGTGGCAAATAACTGGCAAATAATAAAGTCAGATTTTTACACAGAACAAAAATTAAGACAAGCATCAGCTCATTAACATTTCAGTTCTTATTACAAAATGCAAGTGAATCTGACATCCATTTTAATCCTATTAAACCTAACAAGGATAACACACGTAAATCCAGAAAGTGAAGGAACACACAAAGTGATGAAGCGCAGAAGGTAAGCTTGTAGAACTGATGTGGTGTTACAACGACTAATCTGAAACTTGGATGAGTATCTACAGTACTGCAACCTAGGGGGTATCAGTTAGAGGTATGTGATGAATGCTTTGGAGAAAAATATTGTAGTGCCCAGTATCAGTAGCTAAATTTAGTGTTTTGATTAAATGAAGCAATGGCTTAAAGTGTGTGTAGGCAAACAATTAATTACACAAAATCAAATACATATGTTTGAACTGCTTTAGCAAATACATTGTTTGTAATTCTGCTCAGCCAGTTTTCTAATTCTGTTACATTACCAAACACCATAGCCATGCCTTGACTATTTACTTTTTTCCACTGCAGTTAAGTCAAGACCATGATAATATAGTGAAGATGCAGCTGCTTACTGCTGAGATTATCTCTGTGTTCTCTTCGAATCATACATTTATTAAACTCACATAAATGAACAAGACAGCAGGGTCTGATTTGCTTACAGTACTGCACCCTTTAATCAGAATGTTCCTGTGTAGGGGATTATAGGAGGCTAGTACAAAACAAATTTTGGTACAGTTTAAAAAAAAAAAATCGAGGTGTATATTTATCTAATTTAATTTTTGACTAATATTTGCTCTAGATTTACATAAACATTCTTTGGTGAACATTAATCATACTATAAACCAAATTTGTGATACTTGTCCCAAGATCCTTCTAAGATTCACCCAGAGAAAAAAAAACATTCTCTTAAATCTGACAACATCTGTTCTTCAATAGAGAAAGATCTTACTATAACAGTCACTGTATGTAAGAAAAAGGTGAATGTTATCTTCCTTGCACAATCATTTTTTTAAATTAAAACTTAGCTACCCTGAGATGTCAAATTATTGAATTATTGCAAATAATTTAATCATTGCACAAAAAATGCAATGATTGTAACAGGGGCGGACTGACCATTTGGAAACTCGGGCACTGCCCGAGGGCCCGGGGTCAGTAGGGGGCCCCATGAGATGCCCCTGGTACCTTTATCATAGGCTTTTTTGAGTTTGGGCAAGGACAAAGGGGCCTCATGATCCCCTATTGCCCGGGGGCCCCATGAGTTGTCAGTCCGCCCCTGGATTGTAATATTCTTTCAAGCAAGAAAATCCATACTGCGCAATTTATTTTTATTACAGGTACTTATATAGTGCTGTCACTTTACACAGCACTTTACATATATACTATATGTATTGTAAATTCAGTCCCTAACCCTTAAGAAGCTTACAATCTAAGGTCCTTAACTCACACATACATACATATACTAGTGCCAATTTAGACAAGAGACAATTAACCTACCAGCATGAATTTGGAGTGTGGGAGGAAACCAGAGTACCCACAGGAAAACCACAGGGAGAACATGCAAACTTCAGGTAGGTAGTGCCGTGGTTCGGATTCGAACCGACAACCCTAGTACCACCAGGATGCGCTAGCTATTTAGCAGAAAAAACAAAAGAAAAAGAGTGCAACCTATGTATAATCTAACGGTACCTAAAAACATCAATATGAAGGAAAACACTTGTATATAAATACCATACAGATGGAACCCAATAGGGTTATAGAGATGAGAAAATTAAATAATTAGGGAATGTTCTGTCAAACAATCACTGACAGGTGTGAGGCCAACCATATTGTTGTAGTCCTGCTCACTTATGGCAGCCTTTCACTGGATTGAAACTTGGGCCCAGAAGGATACATGTAAGAAAAGAGAGGAGAAAGGCACCCCTAAGTGTAAACTGTAAAAACTTGATTTATTGCACATGAAGGACGGCAACTTATAGGAGGGTAGATAAAAAAGGCACTTCAATATCCATCAATCGGGTTTTAGCCTCGGTGAACAGAATTGTGTGCAATCCAGGATGATGATCTGTCAGAGTCAGACATGAGCGGCCGGCAAGATAGAGGAGGTCTGGCATCGAGGCTTGGAACGCACCGTGGAGCACAGCGTGTGCATGATGACTTCACCAGGCTTCGTAGCGA